TTTGCATATGTTTATAGTATTTGATTACACAGGTAAGATATCGGAACTATATTTTATTTTTAATATGCCGGACATCTGTTTAAGTGAGGCTACCAGATCAGTGTTAAAAAGACTCCTATATCTTTTACATTGTCTTTGTTACCTGGTACACATTGCTGAGTCCTTGCATGGTATGGAAAATTAAAAATTACTTGCCAGCTAAGACACGCTGGGCTTTGGGTATTAAAGTTTGAGTTTCTGTTATCAGCTATTTAACTTTAGGGGACGAGAAGCAAAGTTATCCTTTGTTTGGAGTTCTTTTTATGCACCAATTGTGGTTATAGGTAATGCTGAAAAGGACCTCTTTTGTGTTAGCTCAAGTATTTATCTTTAGTTTGAAAGGGAAGTCTTTTCTTTCAATTATTGACATCATTAATGTAGTTGTATATTCTTCCCTTGCACCACCTAAATTTTGTTTTCTTTAGAGATATCATCATCGAGCTTGTCTGATTAAAGCTGCTTATGAAGAAAGACTATGTTCTCCATGAAAGTGAGAAGAATACATGTGTATAAATTATAATAGCAGGAAAAAGAAATGAAAGGAATAACAGAAAGTAAACAAAATGAAAAAGGACTAAGGAGAAACTAACAAGAATGTGCTGAGACGGATTAAAAGTTGTAGATTTTGCCAACTAGTTTGTGCGCAACTCTTAACTGTCCATTGAGGTTTAGTGAACATATTTATCCTTTTCACTACTTGAAGAAAGTGCTTTGCGTAGAATATTGTAGATACACTTTATCATTCTTACCTTGTATTTCAGGGTAAACAAAAAAAGAATAATCGCAAAAAGAAGGATAAGGGAAGGGATGGAAAAACTTGTATAATTGAGCAAGAGAAGGCTGAACGAGATGGGTGTATTCTAGATGGAAATGATTACGAGACTGAGGAGCCAGAGGCAGCGCTGGAGAAACCAGATATGCTGGAAAATGGTTCGTATGTTTCTGATTCAGTTGATTGTGTCCCAGAAGTAAACCACCCTGATTTTGAAGACAGAGGTGCATGTCCTGTCAACTGGGATACTGATACCTTTGAAATGCATCCTTCTACAGAAATTAGCTTCTGTGGGTTAAGTGGCCTTTCCGCTGCACAGAATGGTATTTCAGGGAGAAGTCCTCCTGTTATCGATGATAGTTCGTCAACGTGTTCTACAGATTCAGTTCCTTCAGTCGCTATGAATGCGCCTTACAGAGGGACTTCTTTGAACCATAAAAATCAGAAATCACCTAGCAGGTAACCTTCTTAAAAATTTTGGGCATCAATAAATATCTTTTATGATGTCTCTGGTTTTCAATTGTTGGTGCCTCAACTCTTTAGATTGGTTAACCACAGAAGCAAGTCAACCAGTAGTACGACCGACTGGGCTAGTGAAATACATAAGCAGCCATTAGATGCTCTTCCAGATACAAGGAAGCTATCTAATACAACTGTAAGTCATAGGGCAACTAGATCCGAGTCCCAGGCTATAGCGCATTCACACGATCGGGAAGTGCTGAAGAAGGTTTGTCCTTTTCTCCCCTTATGCATTCATCTCTTACTCCACGGAATTGACTGGATTTCATCCTAGTAAAAAAGCTTTACTAAGGAATGCAAGTTGTAACACTTGAAAGCATATTCATGGATCTTTTTCTTCTTTGTTTTTTTGGATGGGTGGGGTGGGGATGGGGTGGTCTGTCCCTCTCTTTTCAGCGTTCCTTCATGTTTGTTTATATAGTTAACAGAAAGAGGATGAAAGATACTGAAATATTGATGAACTGACTAGTTCTTTTGCTCTAAGCTGTTTACCTTGTAAACAAAGGAGATATAGTAAGTGTGCCATGCTTGATTTTATTAGATTCTATAATCCATATGCTCAATTATACTCTGTTAATTGTCATTTTGGATTTTAGAGGCAACTTCTTTGCAGTGAATGCCATAATTCTGCTTATGTTGTTTTTAAGTGAATTCTAACTTTCATGCCACGCTTCCTTGTATGCAGGAAGTAATAGTTTCACAGCAGAGAAAACTGAGTGAGCCTGATTCAGAGAGACCTCCCTTGGAGAAGCCACATGTCATATCTCATCCTAGAAGCCCTTCAAAAGGTGCAGCATCTGCCATTCAGTCAAAATCAGAGTTGAAGGACTTGGCCACAAGTGATTCAAACTCTGTTAAAAGATCGTCTTTGGACAGTTCTAAGTTGACTTATAAACCAACTACTTTGGCTAATTTAGCCGAAACTGCTGTGTTGTTGAAGGCTGATCCTGGTAAAGGTATAGAACGACAAGTGGCGGAGAAGCCCTCAGTGCATTCAGTATCCATTACACCTCAGAACTTCCAATCTCATCAAGTGACTGCCTCTGCGACTACGGAGAAGTCCAAATCACAAGTTCCTGCCCTGTCCAGATCCTTGAATGGTCCTGTAGTACATGGGCCTAGGCCTGCTGCCTCTGTTGTTCCCATGGTTCCAACATCACCATTATTGGCCTGTTCAGTGAGTGCAGCAGGTCAATTGGGCTCTGACCCTTCACCAGCAACCCACAGTTATGTTCCTCAGTCCTATCGAAATGCAATTGTGGGTAATCCTGTTTCTGGAAATGCAACTGGTTTTAGTCAACCCTATTCTCCAAGTTCAATGGTTAACTGTTCGCAGCCATACCCTCAATCACCTTCGCGGATTTCTGGGCCGTTATTCTTACCACAGGGATCAGAAAGAACAGAACCTAGTCGTATCAGACCAAGTTATTCATATGGACTAAGTCACGATACCGTGCAAAATGGAGTTCAATGGCAGAGTTCCCAGAGGAATAGCAGGAGTATATCTCGGGATCATCCTTCTATACTAAACGAGTTTCAAAACTTTGATGTCTTCCAGCCTGTAAGTAGAACCCATGATCGCATCCCATCTGAGCTTCCAGCCTGCACGTCTGGACGCCAGTCCCAGAGTTCACTGGCTGATGAATTTCCACATCTTGATATCATTAACGACTTGCTGGATGATGAGCAAGGAATTGGAAGGATGACTTCGATGCCCACCACAGGTTTTCAAAGTTATAGCAATGGGTCACATCATCTGAATCGGCGTTCCTCTTTTCCCGGTGATATTGGAATGCCCACTGACTCAGGTCCTTCAACAAGTTCCAATAGGTTTGAGCAAACACGGAGTTATCATGATGACATCCAGCATAAGTTTTATGAAGGCCCTTTAGACAGTGCAAGCGATATGATTCGTCAGCCTAATCCACGATTTATAAGTGGGCAGATTGATAGCTCAGCACCAAACCAGTGGCAAATGATGAGTTCTGATTCATCTTTTCGTGGAATAAGGACTGCAGAAAACGATCCCAGTAACTGGTATAACGCCCCTGACTACTCAAACATGTCTTCTGGTAGTGTAAATGGCTATAGAGTATATAGGCCTCCAAATGGTCTTTGACAACAAGCCATAGTTGGCTGTTATACTAATGTTTTTACTAGAGGAAATCACTTGGTATTGGGGGATAGTGGAGTGTGAGGTTGTAAGTTGTAACCCTCTGGCAAGTTAAATATTTTGTATAGAGTGATTCTGCCCTTGTTGTTTTTTTCTATATTGATTAGCTTTCAAAATGTGGCTTTTCCTGTCACTCTGGGGATATGATGTTTTAAAAGTTTTGCCTCTCTCTTTCTTTTTAGTTTCCCTTATTTTAAATTCGCTCAGCGTAGGCTCATTCGGGGGAAGTGTTCTTTACTAAAGATTTTTTCATATACCAGGGCTCGAATCTGAGATTTTTGGTTATGTGATAGCACAGTTTAATGACTAGGCCTATCAGATGTTTCTGAACATACCTAGGTGAAATCTCACTAAATATATAACAATAATAATATATTTAAAACTTGTTGTCTTAAACATTTCGTAATGATGATATGTTAAAAGTACTAAGCATGAGGTTTATTAAGAACTTTCTTCTAAAAGTTTAAGCTATTAAAAGCGTTATATAATTTTTACTTAATTATACCGTATAGGTGTCTCCTTAATTACATTATATCTAAGCTTAATTCTTTTTTATGAGCCATACACGTACACGCGTAGATATCCTCATTAACAAAAAACTTTAAACTCTATTTTAACTATTACAAATATCTTATTATTATTATTACTATTTGCAGAAGGTGAATCACCTAATTTGGATATGGCTGAATTTATAGACAAAGAAGCTATTCTAATAACTAATGTTATAATATTATTATATTACCCTGAGAATATATTAAATTTAATATTTTGAGAAATATATTAGATATTAAATTATATTAAAAAAAGAGGATATTAGTGTCTTTGTCGTCTAAAAAACTAAAACATATTTACTCTTATACTAACGGACATACATATGTCATAATCTTATACAGAGAGTCGATATTTATTAAATATTGAATCAATGGATAAGATTGTGTCACGTCCTCCTATTTAGTCTTCTATTAGAGTGAAAAGTATAACTCTAGTTTTTGGACGGTAGAAAGCATTAATATCCCAAATATATAACAAATGATATTTGCATAACATTTATGATAGTTCAAAAATATATTTATCATTTTATCAATAGTATTTAATATAAAGAATAACATTAGTATAAAAATAAACAATATTTTACTATAATGGATAAGTAAAGAAATAACAAAACGTAATATTGACTTGTACATATATATATAGAGCTGTACGTTTTGTCTTCCCTGCAAACTCAATTCTGCACAGTAGAGTTTCAAATGGCGGCACCCCAGAGAGATTTCAACATTGAAAATCAAGAAGAACCAAAATCAAAGATTGTGTATTTAAACTACAGGCGAGTGCCAGCAGTAATCTTTCGAAAGAAGTATTGGGATTGGAATAGCATGGTGGCGGTATGTAAACTTACAATGGTTGGAAAATTCTTTATACCTAAACCAAAGATGACTAAAATTCGTGCTAGTTTCCATGCGAAACTCTCTCTTAAAGGGGTAGTGAAAATTAGGTCTTATGATTCTTACCATGTGTTTATTGATTTCACTGCTGAAGAGGATTATCAATCTGTTTTGTTGAAAGAGAGGGTTGTTGTTGCTGGTGCAATCATGGAGGTTTTTCAGTGGACTCCGGAGTTTCATGATCAATTTGTGAGTTTTGTTGCGCTTGCTGCTTTAATTTTATTGGTAGTGTTTGTTTGATTACTCAATTGTGATATTAAAAACAGGTGGTATTTGATGATTCGACGGGTATAAATTGAAAATATTTATATGTAATCTGGAAAAACACTATAAAGTAGGTGGCGTCGTGGGAGAAAGGGCGATGAAGTGGGGCATGGGAAGGGCGAGTAGGGGATGGGGTGAGTGGACAAGGTGGAGGCACTATGGCCTGGGGGAGTGAGAGTTTGTGTTAGGGGTAGGGGTAGGGATAGGGAATGAGTGCCATGTCGTAGTCAGAATTTCCACCAAGGGGTTCAAAATATGAGCTGGTAAACACACGAAGAAGTTGAATGCAGTTCAACATCTACTCTGTATCTATAAAAATGATTTAGTTATGTATAAGCAATATAATTTTCGAGGGTTTAGATGAATCCCTCAACCTTACTTGGCTCTGCCCCAGAATGGGTGGGAGGTGGTGTGTGTGTGGGATGGGGGTGGTGAGAGGTTGGGTTTGGACAAGAGGTAGAGATAAGAACCTATGACCTAAAGTAATTTTTGAACCCTCTTTGCCGCTTTTTCCTTATTTGAAGACCAATTAAACCTTCGCATGGAAGTGTTATATTGTAATTATAAGAGATGATGGACCAAAAAAACTTTTTATGTGTGAGCTTTAGTATTTACAATTGTTCCACTATCTTTGGAGTGAAAATTGAAGTTTTGGTTTTAGTTATTGGCACCATTTTTGTGTAGTTTCTATTATGTATTAGATAAAGCATATATTGCTATTGTACTGCCTAGCTTTTACTTTCTTTGGAGGTTTCATCGTTGAGCTTGACTGTAAAAGGTTTGTTTATGCAGAACTGTGCTGATCATTGGGAAAATATGTAGTAGTAATGCAATATAGAAATCTATCTACAGAATAAGTTAATGCAATATAAAAGCAGTAAATGTTGTTTAATTATCTGTCATTCTTGGGTACCTGCCTATAAACAAAGATATAAAAATTGAAGAATCAAAATGAAAGAGTGGTAAAGAGAAAAATGGCTGTTCTGGGATAAATTTTAACGTTGTAGCCTTTTGTCAGCTAGTTTGTGCTGAAGCTCTCAGTTGACAGTTTCTGTTTGAGTTCCAAGAAGGTTAGTGAAAATTCTTGATTCTTTTTGCCTCCTGAAGAAAGTAAATAGTGTAGTGATGTAATTTTTCATGGTTACCTCGCAATGCAGAGAGAAGCATTTGGTGTTGTAGAGCTAGAGAATACCAAAAAAGATGAACATATTGGTGGTGGAAATGAGTACGGGACAGAGGAGTCTGATTCAGTAGCTTGTGTCCCAGAAGTAACTCATTCCGATTCCGAGGACAGAGTTGCAAGTCCTATCAAGTGTGAAACCTCTAAACTACCTTCTTCCGTAGGAATTAGTTGCAGTGAATTTAGTGGCCTTTCATCTGCTCCATACAGAATTACTGGACGAATTCCTTCTGTTACATATGAAAGTTCATCGATGTGTTCCACAGAGTTAGTTCCTTTCAGGGGGACTTATTTAAACCACAATAATTTAAAGTCATATAGCAGGTAACCTTTTCGGCCATTCATTTTGGCATCCGGATTTGCATATTTGTTGTGTTTATGAGGGTTCTAATTCCTGGTGCTTTGCTTTTCAGAGAGTGGAATTATGGAAGTAAGCCAACTAGTGAAGCAGCTGATTTGGCTTGTGAAACACTTAGTCAGCCATTATATGCTCTTTCAATTGTCGAGCGCCATGAGAATCAGAAATCAAGACCTCCAATCGAAGTGCAACACTCGACCTATATGGGATACCCAACATTAACCTTTCCAAGACGCTATGGTGAAAGCTTAGTATCCGATTATAAGCTCACTTTGCTAGGGAATTTCTCCTATAAGAGGCCAAAAATGAAAGAAATTCGGGCTGATTTCAAAGCACAGAACCCTCTGAGTGGCCAAGTAAAGATTAGGAATTGTTCTTCTCGGCAAGTATTGATTTTATTCTCCAATGAAGAGGATTACTACACTGTTTTGTACAAGAAAGCGATCATTGTTGCTGGTGCCCTCATGCAGATTTCCTGGTCGTCTCCAGATTTCCACCATGAAGTAGTGAGTACTTTAAATCCCTGTTTGAGTACATCTATCGTTTTTAGCATGGCACCTCTTCTAATGGGAAGCTCTTTCATAACCGGTGGCTCCCATCGGAAAAGCTTTAGCCATAGAGCCCGTTTGTATTGTCTTGAAAAAATAGTTTTAAGTCAAAAATAAAGAGTCAAATTGAAATGACTTTTAAGTCAAAATAAAAAGCAGGGAAGACCTACTTTTGGTTTTTGACTTATTTTCGTTGTTGGCATCATAGTGTAATTTCTGTGAGGTTTTCGACAATGGTTGCTGCTTTCCTAGCTATTGCTTTTTTATGATTCTTTTTTATCATTGAGCTTGACTGATAAAAAGATCTGCTTATGCAGAAACAGAATATTCATCCTGATTTCAGATTAAGTGATGCAAAATCTGTTAATTGGAATACAGACACCTCTAAGCTGCATCCTTCTATAAATGGCCTTTTAGCCCCTGCTACAGATGAAAAGTCCATGTCACTACAAGTGCCTGCCGTGTCCCAATGCTTGAGTGTTCCTTCAATATGTCCACCATTACCATTATTGGCTCATTCAGTAAGTGTAGCTGGTCGATTGTGTGCTGATCGTTTAACAACTTCAGGTATTTATGTTCCTCAGTCTTATCCGAAAGGAATTGTGGGAATTCCTATTTTTGGAAGTAACGAACAAGCTGGCAGTGGAAACACCTTTCCTAGGCCTAGCCAAGCCCTGAATCAGCAGAGTCTTGCTCAGCAGCATAACCAACTGAATTCATATAAACCAAATATGACTGTCAGGATAGCACAATTACAACCACCATCAACAACCTCAGTAAGTGACATTACCAGCTCAATCCGATACCGAGAATGTCTCAAGAATCATGCTGCAAGCATGGGAGGACATGCTCTTGATGGATGTGGAGAATTCATGCCTAGTGGAGAAGAAGGGACCCCAGGAGCCCTGAAATGTGCAGCTTGTAATTGCCACCAAAATTTTCACAGGAAAGAGATTGACGATTACCAACCGATGGATGATGTTGGGTCACATTCTAGGTTCAGTCAACCGAGAAATAATAGCAGTAGTGGCAGTATACAAAACCAAGTCTTGATTTCTCTTCCTACACAACAGTATCATCATGATTACAGTGATAGCTGTTCACCTAGATCATTGGTTGACTCTTTGCAGCCTTATACTCAACCACCCTCGCCTACATCTGGTTCCGTATATTCACAACAGGCCTTGGAAAGAATACAACCTAGTTCTATTCGATCAAGCTATTCATATGAAATGGTGAATCACAATACCATGCAGAATGGAAAGCAACGGGAATATTTCTGGAGTGACAGCAGTAGGAATACATCACGAGATCATCCTTCCGTACGAAATGAAAATTGGAATTTTGACATGGACAAGCCTTTAAACAACAGAACCCCTGATCATATTCCATTGGAGTTTCCAACCTACCCGTCTAGGTGCCAGCCCCAGACTGTATTCACTGATGAATTTCCACATCTTGACATAATTAACAACTTGCTACACGAAGAGCATGAAACTGGACGGACTTTGATGTCCAACTCAGGCTCTCAGAGGTTGAACAAGGGATCATAACACTATCAGAATGTGCATTCCACTTATCCGAGTGATATTGGTATGTTTACTGGTCTAGGTCCCTCATTAAGTTCTTGTAGGTGTCACTCTGGTCTTTAGATTTGCAGTGATTTTGCACTTCGTTAGCTTTGCCATCATCCCTGATATGAGTTGGTATTTCATTAGAGCTGAAGTATGTTAACTCCTTTTTGTGCAAATGTTATTAAATGACAACACTATTGTCATTTTGATGGTAATACTAGTTTTTATGGATTTTTTTAGAGTTATTATTTGCATACAGCTTAATATGGTAAAACAATCTGTGAAATTAATAATCTGGGCAAAATATATATACACGAGCATTGGTGGAGTCAGTAGTTTCACTAAAAGGGTTCAAAATCTGAAGAAGTAAACAAATGAGCTAGTCGAAGGGGTTTTTAAAATTACCATACAACAACATACATGTGATAAGATCTTTCCATTCGTAACTAAAGTCTTGAATTCCCCTTGCAGTGGTGACCCTTTCATTCTTCCACGGACTGATACATGTATCGAATGCTCATATAGGAAATTTGACTCTTGGGTTTGGAACTTGGGGGGTTGCTTCGAGAAATCCTTTCTTTCTCGTCCACTCTGGGGGGTGCGGACACACCTGCACGGGTTACAGGTGACAGTTACAAGAATGACTGGGAAGTTAATAGTATCCGACGACATTCAGGGATGGATGTAGACCCATTGGGTAGGGATAATCATTCCGATCCTGCCGGTTAAAATAAGCTTTACTAATTAGTATAAGTTTGAATTAGTTGGATCAAAAGAGAATTAAGGGGCTAATTACATACGTGGGGGACACTCATTAATACCAAGGCTCGCTATACATAATTCAATTTTATAGCAAGGCTAGCTAGATTTTGTGTTCTTCTCAATTGTGTATCGTTATTTTTGTTTACTTTTTTCATTCGGTATTTGATATCTATTTTGGAGTTTAATTAATAGAAATTTATACTGAGAAGTTTTTTTAAAAAAAAATTTATATTAAATGCTCAAATTTGAAAATATTTATCTTTCTACATATATAATGATATTTTTTATTTACTACGATCCCTCAACCTTCTTATTTGTTCCAAAAAAAAAGTACTAACGTAATGTCACGTTTTATTTTTGTTGGGGTGTTAATGGAGGGACTAATTTGAAAATCGCAATTCGAACCCTACCTACCACACATTCATTAAATCTATGGTCCCATCGATTTTAAATTGTTTTCTGAATTCAAGTGAATCTAATATTTTAAGGACATACCTTATTCAAACAATATACGCTTCAACAAAAAAAGAAGAAGAAAAATAAGGGATATTAAAAATAAAAACTATGGTCCCCTATAAAAATGTTTTTATTCCTGAGTTATCTTTCAACCATCCATGTTCTTTATGTTATGATTCACAATCATATTATCTTCACTCCAAAATAGACATTATTTAAGTAAATATCACGTTGTGTAGTTTGGCCTTTTTTCAATGTTTAAAAAATATTACGTATATAATACAATTATTCTCATGTCAATATGATGATTTTTTTTTAAATGTATACATCAGTCAAAATATCAATTAATTTAATTAATTTTCGTTTTCTTTAACTTTTTTTTAAAAATATACTACTACTATTAATTCAGTAACTTTTGCTCAAATTTTAAATTTACACTGTGAAACCCGTTGGTATTGGTTCCAATATCAAAGAAATTATTTATTTGGTAAATTAAAACTTGTTCAAATCAAATACGTAAATGTGAATGTAATTGAAGTATGGTTTTTCTACCATTGCAGTAATTAAAGCAATATATAATATTATTATCAGTCACTAAATTATGTTTAATTATGTGCTCATTTTATAGAATAACTTAAGTGATTATAATGTACACTTTTTATTTAGTTAATTATAATGAAAATATATATCTTTGTGCCACACTGGAATTGGATTTGTTAAATTGTGCCTATTGATATTTAAAAAAAAATGGATTTTCACATGGTGTTTGGTATTCACATTAGAGCTTGATTAATTCGGATTTATATTTGAATAGGCCACATTCGTGGGTTAAAGCTTCCTATAAATAATTTTTCCATACCCAAGTTTCATTTCAATATTAAAGATGAGACTGATATGATTATTTACTTAATAATTATATGGGAAAAGGATAAATATACCCCAAACTGACATAAATGATATGCATATATCCTTCATATTTTTGGGACATTAATGCTCCTATCGTCCAAAAACTATACCATATATACCCTTCACTCTAACGGAAGATGAAATATGGACATGTAACGCAATCTTATCCATCGATCCGATATTTAATAAATATAGGGTCGGTGGATAAGGTTATGACACATGTATGCCCGTTAGTATAAAGGATATATGTGCTCTATTGTTTAGACGGCAGGGACATCAATGTCACAAAGATATGACTGAGGGTATTTGCATACCATTTACGATAATTCAAAAGTATATTTATTCTCATAATTATATTTTCAACACGCTTCATCATACTTTTTTTTAGTATTTCGCAAATGAGTAATGTGACATCTACCCACTATAACATATGACGTTTAACTATACGTAATTATCTCATTTATAAACTTTAACGATTCATTAGTTCACAATAAGAAAATCAAAATTGGAAAAGACTATAACATAAAAGGAAATAAGGGTAAATATATATATATATATATATATATATATATATATATATATATATAATATATATATATATATATATAGCATTACAAATAAAAATAAGGAACATTAGTTTTATTTGTGTTGAAATAATAGAGTACATGAAGAGTCTATACTTAATATCTCCACTTTATTTATTTTTCATAACATAATAATGTTCTTAACCCATAGAATAATTAATTAACCCATTCTAGGAGTAATTTTAACAATGGCCTTCTGTCACGATCCAAATCGAGCCGCGAGTGGCACCCACACTTATCCCACTGTGTGAGCGAACCAACCAATCTAAACCCCAACATTTCAAATATAATAAATAGAAAACAATGCGGAAGACTTAAACTCATTAATGAAATCAATTAACAACTTCTAAAATTTATCAATTAATATCCCCAAAATCTGGAAGTCATCATCACAAGAACATCTATCTTCTAATTACTAAGACTAAGAGTATCTAAGCAGCTAAAATACATAAAAAGCTAGTCCATGCCGGAACTTCAAGGCATCAAGACATGAAGGGGAAGATCTAGTCCAAGCTAGAAGCATTAGCTCACCCTGAAATCCGGAGTAATGAAGACTGGCTAGAGTTGCGGTTGAGTTGAAGACGACGGTATGTTTGCTGCACTCCACATACAAAGAAAGAAACATACAAGTAGGGGTCAGTACAAAACACAAGTACTGAGTAGGTATCATCGGCCAACTCAAAATAGAAAACAATATATATCAAGTAATAATATAAACCAACTACATTACTCAACATGTATCAACAACAAGTACTATAATCGTTAATAGGTACCGCCAAGTTCACACATGTGGACTCAAGCCTCAATACCATACTCATTTGGGAAATAGGTTCTTTTCATTCGAATTTATTAACTTAATTCCAAGATTCATTATCTTTATTCTTCTTGTGTCGGCACGTGACACTCCGCTCCCCTACTATGTGTCGGAATGTGACACTCCGATCCCCTAATTCTACGTGTCGGTTCGTGACACCCGATCCCCTAATTCTACGTGTCGGTTCGTGACACCCGAATCCCCTAATTCTCATTCTATTAATTCATCAAGCCTTCTTTTATACCAAGGCATCATCAATCTCATCACTTTTGTTCATCAAGCCTTCTTTTATACCAAGGCATCATCAATCTCATTACTTTAGTTTCATCAAACCTTCTTTTATACCAAGACATCATCATTAACAAGGGGTTTTCAAGATTTGAAATTCAATAGTTTTATCATGCTTATTTCATCACAATTATATAATCATATTCATGCAAGCATACAATTAAGCATGTAGAAGACTTTACAATGCAACCCAACACAATATCATTCGCTATTAAGAGTTAACTACGAATAGTATAAAAACCATAACCTACCTCCACCGAAGAATTTTGATCAAGCAAGCAATTTCCCAAAACTTTGTTCTTATTCTCGTTTCTCCTCTTTCTCGTTCGATCCTCTCTCCCTCTTTGTTCTTTCTATTTTCTTATTCAAACCCTCTTTCTTTTACCCTAATTAGCATATAATTAAGTATAATAGATGGCAATAGTAACCCACTAATTAACTCAAGGTTATCTCTTTTAACCCCCAAGTAATTGAGTTATTAATATTAAACCACTAACTTTATAATTAAAGCAGGAATAGTCCAAAACGTCCCTTAAAACATTTAAAGAAATCCGACTCAGCCTGGAATTACGCAACCTGCGACGGGCCGTCGTGACTGCGACGGTCCGTCCGGCTACTTCCGTCACAAAGTTCAGAGACTGAAATTTACTGAAGAGTCTGTGACGACTCGTCATGCCTGTGACGGTCCGTCCTGCCACTTCGTCACGAAGTTCAGAGAGTCGATTTCAGTACCCAAATTTCAGAATTCTAAGTGTTTTGGAACGAGACCCCCTCGACGGTCCTTCGTGCCCATGAAGGTCCGTCGTGGGATCTGTCATCTCAGTCAGTTTTTCCAGAAATAAAATCTGCTGCTCAAAACGACTAAACAGGTCGTTACACCTTCCAGTCAACAACCAGAAAAACTCTACCACAAACATAATTACCTAGCCCAAACATACCAGGATATAAAACCCTAATATCTTGAACTATGGAATTTTCCTTCTGAATTATTTTCTTAGCATATTCTGCTGACTTCCCAACAAGTTCAGGCCATGATTGCTTACCTAAAATAATTATATAAAAAAAAAGCTTACCTAAAATAATTACAAATATAAATAAATATAATGACATCATGATAAAATTCTCATATCAGTTATTATTTCTTAAGAATCGTGCAAGGTCCACAGAAGAGAAATACAAGTGAATAGAGGGAGTAGAGTCGTCAATATGGGCTAGGCCCGTTGAGCTGGTCTGGCCTAACCCGGGATTTAGTAGGGTTGGGCTAAGATTTTTGGAGCCCATTTAAGAAAAGAGTTTTTTAGCTCGGCCTGAATAATCCTGTTGATTTGAGGGGCTTGAGAAATATCGATAGGACCGGCCCGTAGGCCAATAAAATTTAATTAAAAATATAATATAATATTAACATTTAAAATTAAAGAGGGTCCAAACTCAAAACAATTAGGTTATTATTTCTATTTAGATATTTATACTTAAAAAAATTTAATGTATTTTTTTAAAAAAATGATAACTTAACTTAATAAATATTTTATAAAGACAACTTTATTTGTGAATTTGATTAACAAGTAGTAACATTAACATAATGTAATATAGTTTTGTCGATATTTATGATAATTATTTTAAATTATAATTTATAATTTAAAAAAAAGTCGAGACATTCAGAAAGAGAGTTATGGCATTTCGAGGATTATAATATGGTCCGTAATGCCTTTTTACACACGGAACTCTTGAGGAGTAAATTAATAATTTAAAAAAAATATATAATTTTTAAAAAAGTGAACTGGTCCGACAAGCATGTAGCCCACATACTTATGGGTTGTGTCCACTATTTTCTGACCCAAACAAAAAATGGGCTAGTCCGGCCTGCCCCGTAAAATGTCAAAGCATGTATGGATTAACCCGGATAGTGTAGGCTAGCCCATATTAACAGCGTAATATAATATAACTCGAATCGCCATGCTCTTTAGTCTTTAAAGTACTTATCAATTTAGCAAAATGTAAATTTCATTCTAAGAAATTTTAATTTTTAGGAATAAAGTAATTTTTTTACTTTGTTAGTAAGGTGAAAAATATTATATATATTTTTTGAGAGAAATTATAATTATGTTACATTTAGTGAAAGAAAATCATAATTATGTGTCCATTTGTGAAATTTACCCGTCTTCGAAACTATAAGAAGAAGAAATTTAAAAAATATAAGAGGAATTTTATTACCTGGGCAAATTACATTTTGGATTTCATTTTCCAGAATTTCCAGTACTTCTATGCCATCACTCAAATCTCTTGCCATCAGTGATTGAAAAACTGTAATTAAAATAAATAATTTACCAAATTAATTACTTAATTATTCATTTGAGAGATAACATATACTAGTGGAATATATATGCATGCAAGAGGATTGACGGAGTCCGTAGTTTCACTAAAAGTGTTTAAAATTGAAGAAGTAAACACATGAACTAGTCGAAGGGGGTTCGTCATATTATGCAACAATAATATACCTAGTAAGATCTCACTAAGTGAAATCTAGGGAGGGTAGAATGTGCGCAAACCTTATCACTACGTCGTGAAGGTAGAGAAACTGTTTATAAAAGACTCTCGGCTAGCTCAAGTGCATCAAACACAAGTTAAAAAAACAACAACGAAGAAAACATTGTAGAAATTGAAATTTTGTGGGACTCTACAAGACGTGTTCAATTTGAAGTGGGACTCCGGAAGGTGTATTCAGTTGCAATTAGAATTCTCGGAGGTTACTCAACCCTAAACCCTACCCTAGTTCATAGGTACTAAATTCCCTTAAAAAGGCACCTCGAATATTCCGTAAGTTCATGGAGTATTCGTATAGAGGTCAAATTTAAATCATTCTAGTTTGAGAAATACACCACTAACGGCCATCGAATCATGGATAAATCTTAGGAGAGTAGAATTAAGGGAAGAATAAAATTGTACCTGCACTATTTATCAATAAAGTTATGTTTCTTTATATTTTATTTGTGATTGCAATTTCTTTTCTTTTACTTTAAAACTAATTGCAATCAAATTAACCATTAATAAGTAAAACAGTGTAAAATTTAACAAATATTATATATACATGAAAAATAATTTTAACTATGTATAAGTAATAGTATAATTTTCCGTCAAAGTCCCGAACTGATTCCGCCCCTGTACACCAAAACTAATAAAATTGTGATAAGATGGTTAAGATCTCTCTCAATCTTAACTAGAAATTTTAAATTCGATCCTTCAAAATAAAAAAGAATCATGTTAAGGAGGCTTGCCGGTTAAATAAGTCTTGCTAATCAGTATAAATTTAAATTAATCGGACCACAAAAGAGAATTAAGGGCTAATTACATACATGATGCAAGAAGCAAGAAAGCAAGCACATGAGATAACTTGAGCATATTCTTTCCCTCCATTGCTTTTAATTATTTATCTTTCAAATAATTGTGTGATGTGTAAGACTCATTGGTTACACATGGATATTTATAGGGAGTTAGTAAGGGGTAAGGCCAATTTTACAATAAACTTTATGGTAGGTATCGAGTAATTCAGTTATCAATAATTAATGATATATTCTCAAAATATTTGATAAATTTTTTGAAAAGTATCTTTTATCTTATAGAATAAAATAATGTGAAATATTATAGAAATTATGACAAGGAAAAAAACAATATAAAATGAAATTTAAAAATATTTACTAGCAAAACTAGAGGTGTTATGGTCTCTATAAAGGGAGACGATGAAATTTACACACGGGATATGAAGTGACACAGTAAAAATTGAATTCACGGATAATAAAATATACAAGGCTAGCTAGGTTTTGTATTCTTCTCAATTGTGTATCATTATTTTTGTTTATCTTTTTTAGTTTTTCATTTGATATTTGATATTTGAGTTTAATTGATAAAAAGTTTATATTGAAAAGTTTTTTTTAATTTTTTAGTTTTTATTTCATATTCAATAATCAAATCTGACATTTTTAATTAAAGATATAAATACATATTTATCTTTTCACACCTATAATGATATTTTTGTTTATTATGGCCCCTCAACCTTCTTATTTGTATAATATAATGCATTCTCACTTTTTATTTTTATTTTTTGGGGTGTAATGGGGGGGGGGGGGGGACTAATTTGACTATTGCGATTCAAATCCTACCTATCACACATTCATTAAATCGATGGTTTCAAGGATTTTAAATTGTTTTCTAAATTTACGCGAATTTAATATTTTAATGATATATGTTATTCACACTTAACCAATAAAAAAGGACAAATAAAAGGAAAAAAAGAAGAAGAAAAACAGAAAAAGAAAGGGATATTAGAAAAGAAAAAACTATGGTCCCCTATAAAATGTTTTTATTCGTGAGTCATCCTGTTAAGCATATAGAACACACAAAAAATGTGATTTATAATTATAAATACTTGATATTAATATATTAATCCTTAATTATTTTTTTTTTCAACCATCCATGCATTTACGTACTCTTTATGTTATGATTTTCACTTATTGAGATTCAAATTACATTATTTTTTTCACTCCAAAGTAAATGCTATTTAAGTAAAAATCACGTTGTTAGTTCTTCACTCCAAAATAAACGCTATTTAAGTAAATCTTCACTCCAAAATAAATGCTATTTAAGTAAAAAATCATGTTATTTAATTTACTAATCTTGGCCTGTTGCCTTTTTTTTCAATGTTCAAAAAATATTATTATATAATACAATTTTTCTCATTTCAATATAACAAAAAACATATTCTTTAAACTGTTTGCATCTTGAATAGCTAAAATATCATCTAAAACAGAGAGTGTATTGATGTCTTACACGACTACATTCGTATATATATTTGTATATGAAAGTGGTAATGGCTCGGCTTGCTAGTGATGTTATTCGCTTTAGGTTTATGCCCACACGATTTTAAAACACGTTAAAAATTGGTATGAATTGCTTATTTATAAGTTATATAATTTATATATATATACACTATGAATTATTTCATGAAAAATTAATAATAATTTCATGGGTGAATTTTTGAATTTTTATAGTGATGGATGGAAGGAAATATAAGAAAACAAAAAAAATGATACCAAAAGTAAAAAAGCTATGGTCCCTGAATGTAATGTCCTTGTATTTATGATCATTTTGTCATATATAGAACACATAAAAAATGTGTTATAATTTAAAGAATTTTGATATTTTTGATATATTGTTCCTACATATTATGCTTTTCAATTTATAAAGTTGCGTGAGAATCCAATATTTCTATCAACCGTGTATTTACTCTTTAGATATCTCTATATTTTTATAAGTCATTGACAAAATTATTTCTTTATTTTTTGTATTCTTATAAGAAATTAATAAGAGGAATTTGGGTAAAAAAAACATTTTTATAAATAGAAGGATTAAAATAGAGCAAACGTCAAACTTAATGGTCATCATTGGGTGAAAAAACATATACTCTCTCTGTTTTTATATAGAATGATCTAGTTTGACTTGACACGAAGTTTAAGAAAATAAAGAAGACTTTTGCTTATGTGGTTTTAAATTAAAATTATGTCAAATGGATAAAATTGTCCTTTAATCTTTTGCTCTTAAACATACCACGTGAAAAGTTGTTACCAAAAAAAGAAAGTGATCATTCTTTTTTAAACAAACTAACAAGAAAAGAAAATCATTCTTTTTTAAAATGGACGGAATAATATAATGTAATTATGAATTATATTTTGGGAGTTTTTGGTATTGATGGAAAGTGAATTGTAAATTGTGTTAGATAACGAAAAAGGATAAAACATATCTCTATTTTATATAGAATAATTTATCCTTCATTTGAGAAGTTTTCGACTCATAACTCAATCGTTAGTCAAATGATCCAAATATGCAATTATTGGTTAACGACCACCAATTTCCTTTTGGAATTTTTATTAAACTTTTCTAAAAATCACAACCTAATCAACTACTAATTTAATTCTTCTTTTTATTTTTATTTCTCCATTTGTTTATTTTTATTTGTCCATCCATGTTTGTCATACATCTACAAATTAGAAGTGTTTGTTGAATTTTATTTTCGGCTGTTTAAAATACTAATCTCGCAAATTGTACACATTTTTGTATTTGTTGATACATGTTGTATTTTAAATATAAATACGACCAGTGACAAATGTAACATTTCAAAAAATTTTAAGCAAAGGCCTAAATCATTCTTTATTTACATGTAAGATCGTGTCGGGTGATTCTTTAGGTCAATTCTTTTGTGTCAGATATTGAATTTGGATATGAATTAAGGTGACAAGAACTCCCTAGCACAAAATTGAGTGTCAAGCTTCCTTACTGATTAAGTTTCGACACAAGATTCTACTTAGGTCAACTTCAAATGATCATATCTCTCGGGATAAAATGAATTAGGTGACCAATGACCAATAAAATTGAAGGCTTATGAGTCAATATCACCAAATTTGCCTCATTTCAAGTTCAGAGTAAAAAATTATGGTCATTTTACGAGAGACTATTACATCAAAGTTTCCTGAAGTCAATTTATTCGAGTTACTTCTATGGGTCATAGAAATTTTGACGATCCGTATTGTCAACTCGTTAAAACTTTCAGATAAGTCAGATTTTGGAGTCCAATTCTTATGGATTCATTCTACGAGCCGTAAAAACTTCTACGAATCACAGATTGAACTCGTAAAATGAAATTTTGAGCCATAAAAATTCAATATAGATTCCACATTGATATCTATGGTTCGTAGAATAAAGCACGAACCATACATGAACCCGTAGAAGGTTTTCACCAACTTTCAAGAGGGATATATTCGTCTTTTCTCATCCCCTTCCAAGTCTAAATTACGATGTTTTTACACCTAATAAAGAGTTTAAACAATGTTAAGTTAATTCTTTACGTCCATAAACACTTCCAAGTCTTAGAGCAAGGATCTAAGAGGAGAAGGCTAGAGTTTTGAAGCGTTATTTCAGTTGTTTTGCCAAAAACCTTGTTCTTCCAGGTATGTAAGGCTACCATAGTGATAGATTGAGTTCATCTTCATGGCCTACATCTATCTATAAAATGTTTTTATTCCCGAGTCATATTGTCAGTACATAAAGCACACAAAAAATGTGGCTTATAATTATAGGTACTTGATATATTGTTCCTAATTATTATGTCTTTCAACCATGCATGCATTTCCGTACTGTACTTTTTTCTTCTTCAATAAATTGGGGTTAGGGGGAGGGGATTACAATGTGGGGAATCGAACCCTCATTTTAGATTTTACGTTCCTTAAAAAACTAGTTAAACTTACTATTGTACCCTTATTTAGTATGCTCTTAAAGTCTAATTTTCAATAAATGAACATAACTTAACTTATTTTATATAATAATTGACCAATAACATGAATTAGTCATTAATTAATTTTCCTATGTTGATCAAATACATACTTTCAAGACTAATAACTCAAGGGTATACAAAAATAATGTTATTTAGGTATCACTTTCGTAGGATGACAAGTATTCAAGAACATATATTTTAAGTAAGTACGATAAATAAATAGAAACAAGGGAATATAATTTTCACTCACGGAGAATCAATTGTATTATATTCTTCATTCGAAAATGAGTTTTATTTAAGTTAAAATCACATTTATTAACTAATTAATAAGTATAATATGCAGTTTACTACTCCTGGCCTCTAGCCTGTTTTCAATGTTCAAAAAGTATTATATAATGCGATTCTTTTCTTGTCAATATAATGAAAAAATATTCTTTAAAATGTAAATTAATTAAAGTTTTATAAAAAAACTATAATAAGAGGAATTTGAGTAATTTGTTTTTTTATATATCTACAAAGACTAAGATAAAGCAGCTCTCAAACTTAATGACTAATTTGGTAAAAGAATCATAATAGTATTTAGATTTTATGAATTATATTTGGGATTATTCGGTACCTATGAAAAGTTTACCTATTTTATAAGGAAATGAAAAAATAATCAAATATATCTCTATTTTATGTGAGTAACTTTATGCTTTAATTTGAAATTTTATTCTCCTCCCTGAGAAAAACACAGCAACTCAACTACTATTTAATTTCTTTATTTAGTTTTATTTCTCTATCTATATTCGTTGATAAATCTATAAATTAGAATATTTTATAATATATAACAAAAATTAGATTTTTTAAATTCATTCCAATCAGATCGATGTCTCTTGATATCGGTATGATTTGGTAAATATTTTGGTCTATTTTACTTTTAAAATATCACCTCAAAATATACTACTATTAATATACTTCTTTCACAAATATGTTCTTAAAGAAGCATTCTAATACTTCACAAAAAACAAGAATGTAAAACCTTATTGTTTGATCTTAAATATTTAATAGGAGTGTTTGGATAGGTTTAGTTGTATTGTTTAATAGAGTATCCATTATAATATCTTTTAATTTTCAACCTAATTAAATAAGAGCAAAGATTCAAAGTCTTTTAGTTATCACAGTCCGAGGACCTAAATTACA